GCACCGAGTTCCACTTGGAGAGCCGCGCATCGGTAAGTTTGCCGATGCATAATAACGTGTTGTTCCCCGTCGGGCCTCGTAGGGCGCACGCAGCTAAACGGTACCCGTCATGCATTCGTAAGTTAAGCCCCGCCTACTCTGCATGCGGTAACGGCTACGATCGACAAACCAGGTAGACGTGCAGCCACGAAGATTATTGATCAGGGGAATTGTGGCGCCTACTTAAACACCTCGGATGGCTAACCCAAGTGCGCGGGGTCGCGCAGTATACTACCTAAGGTTCTAGTCTGTTACTACCCGTTTCCCTTCTCTAACTACATTCGCAAAGTCATCCGTTCTGTCTTTTTGGATCCTGAATTGCTCAAGAGCAATTGGCGTCATTCCTCCGGTTAATCAATTCAGCATGGAGAGTGCAGATCTGGAACGAACTTATTCCCGGGAACAACAAGGCTTAGGGCCGGGTCATGAGGCCATTACCTCACCAGTCGCTCTTGTCCGCAGTTTTACTTCGAAGAGTCAGAGAAGTACGACGAGTCGACAGAGTTCAAGAAATCGCTGTACGCATAACTTCGTCTTACTGCGATGTTGGGGGTGTGGGTTACTAACGGGTCAACATAGCCGGTGCTATAGAGAGCTCGCGTGCTGCGCGACTGAGGGAACTTGAGAAAGATGCTGGCACATCTGACGATACGGAGAAGGAGGATGCGATTGAGAAAGTTGCGTCGAGAACACCTTCAACGCTGAGCTCGCATGGACGGTCGAATTCACCGTCGCCGGCGTCGAGTGTCCACGATGAGCACACGAGTGGGAGACGGGTTATCCGCTTTGAAGATGGAGACCCTGAGAATCCTAACAATTGGGGGCGTGTGAGTTGAACAATGGAAAATTGATTCGAAGAAGAACTAACAAGTATTCCAGTGGAAGAAGATCTACGCCCTCGTCGTTGCTATCATGAGTGGTAAGCCACCCTAATCCTTCTTTTGACAACTCAGCTGAACCAGACAAAGTGATGAACAGCACCATGACCTCCAGCCTAGCAGCCGGAGCCACGGCTCCAATATCTCGCCATTTCAACCAAACCAACGAATATGCGCTCATCCTCCCCACATCCATGTATCTAGTTGGCTACGCATGCGGTCCCATGCTCTGGGGCCCTCTCTCAGAATCCTACGGCCGCAAAGGAACCATGGTGATATCCTTTGCCTTTTTCACAATATTCTCCATCGCTTCGGCGCTCTCACCAAACTTCGCTTCGCTCGTCATCTTCAGGTTGTTGGTGGGTGTGGGAGGGAGTTGCGCGATCAGTGTTGTTGGGGGGATCTGCGCGGATATCTATCATAATCCTAAGTATCGGGGAAGGAGTATGGCGATTTTCATGGTATGTGGCTCCTAATCCCTTCCTCATAACGAACTCTAGCAGAAGGAAAGAAGAACTAATCAAGGTATAACAGGCCGCAACAACATTCGGACCCATTCTCGGACCCCCGATATCAGGCTTCATCAGCGTGATATCCTGGAGCTGGGCCTTTTGGATCGGGGTCATACTTGCCGGAGCAACATGGCCGCTGTTCTACTTCTTCGACGAAACATACGGTCCCACGATCCTAAAGCGGCGCGCAAAGCGACTACGCAAGGAGACGGGTAATGAGAATATCATTGCGCCACTTGAATTGGAGAAGACGGATTTGAACCACATCGTCACCGTCATCCTGACTAGGCCACTAAGAATGATCTGCTTCGAACCTCTCGTTCTATTCACATGTCTATATCTAAGCTACGCCTGTAAGCCAACCTTCCCCTACCATCCCTGCACAAACCCATCTCCTTACTAACCCCCACCCCCAAAGACGCCATATTCTACATATTCCTACAATCCTACCCCATAATCTTCACCGGAATCTACCACTTCAACGCCGGTGAAACAGGTCTCGCCTTCCTCCCCATCGGCGTCGGCGCCCTCATCTCCGCTGGCATCTACTTGTCGTGGGACTGGTACTTGGCCCGCGCCCAACGCCTCAATCGCCCTTGGTCGCGCAACGAAGAGATGCGGAGGCTGCCGCTCGCTTGCATCGCTGGCCCGTTCTTCGTTATCAGCGCGTTCTGGCTGGGCTGGACGAGTAGAGAGAGTATCCACTGGATTGTCCCTACGCTCGCGGGTATACTGTTTGGAATGGGATATCTGTGTCTTTTCATGGCTTTACTCAACTATCTAGTCGACGCATACGAAGTCTTCGCTGCGAGTGCGATGGCAGCAGCGAGTTTATCGCGTAGTTCGTTTGGGGCTGTGTTGCCTTTTGCTGCGAAACCGATGTATAGGACTATGGGCGTGGCTTGGGCGACAAGCTTGCTGGGATTCTTCAGTCTGGCGCTGTGTGTTGTGCCGTTTGTGTTTGTGAGGTGGGGTGGCAGAATGAGGGATCGCAGTCAGTTTTGTCAGTATTTGAGGAGGAAGAAGAGGGAAGAGGAGGAGGAGGCGGAGAGGGAGAGGGAGGGGCTGAGGGAGAAGAGGGTTATGGTACAGCCCAATGAGTTCAAGGGGAAGGAGGATGTGTAGGGTATGATTAGTCCGTGCTGCATGTCTTTGAAAAGCTCATCTCAAAGATCATCCAACATATACCCCCTCCTCTTCTCAGGCTGGGCCTTGATGACCCAGCTATGCAGCACAATCTCGTGCCATTGAACCCTCTCCGCATTCTGCATACGAAACACCGGCTCCCTCTCAACCACGAATTCTTTGCCTTTTCTAGGCCCAATGCGCGGTAGGCAGAAGCGAAAAGAGACCCAGTACACAATACAGCACGTGAGCATGATCCACGATAACATGCCGGTCGCGTACCAAGGAAGCCCGGGAATGATGTCGTGAACGTCGAGGTCTGAGTATTGAAACGGTGGTATCCAGACTGCGACTAAGGGGAAGCCGCCCGCGATAGCATAGATCAGAGCAGCGGTGACACTCAACCACGTTGGGAGGGGCGATTTGAGAGACCACTTCGTGAAGAAGCGAAGATACAACATGCCGACTGCCATGATGAACGTGGGGATGATGTCGACGAGGTACACGTACAGGTTTGCGAGGATCCTGTACGCAGACGAGGGCTTCATGGGCCAGGTTACCAGTATGAGAAACACGGCGCATACCCAGTGGAGAAATAACGCGCCTAGCGGAGTGGGCTCGGACTGGCTGGAATGGTGTTTTTCGCGGTATTTGCGAAAGAGAATGCGGTTCTCGCCGAAGAACTTGGCGAATGGTAGAACGCCTTCTTTCGCTATCTCTTGCTTGGCGCGGGCAAGCGTGAAGGTCATGCCGATGACATTGCCGAAGCTGTTGATGGTCGTGAAGATGGCGAGGATTGCAGAAGCGTGTTTGGGGCCGATGACGTTGTTGAGGAAAGCGAGGGCTACGTCGGTAGATGTAAGTTGTTGCTCTTTGCTGACTACAATCATCTGAGTGCGTCAGCGAAGATCTGGGAACTGACTATGTGGCTACCTACGTAGCTGACATTGACGAGCATGTATAAGATGCAGATCATCCCGAGAGCAATGATGATGCCTTTGGGAAAGTTCTTGCGTGGTCTGTGGACCTCGCAGAGTATCTGAGTATGCGTAAGTGTAGGTCGATGGATCGTCAGACTGATTAAGACTTACATAGTTGGCTTGGTTGTACCCCCCATAGGCGTAAAAGACCGCTAGCATGCCTTGCGTATAGCTGTCGGCGTTTCCGTGCGTCCGCGCAAATGAATTCTTGTATCCCATATTGGCTGTTGCGTGATTCGTATGCGCGACACCGGCCAATACACATATCGCCATGATGGGGAACACACAAAGAATGGCGATCTTAACAACGACGATGACGTTGTTGAGAAGGATACCCCCACGTCGAGTGAACGCGTGCAAGAAGCATGGAAGCGTTACTGCCATTATCGCGAGACATCGTGCCGCGGCATCCTTAGCTGCACCTCTATCGGAACCTGGAGAGCCTATTATGTCGTCGCCGAAAGTCAATGCGTTGGCTGCGCTCGAAGCAATGATCACGTAGTTGACTGCGTAGAAAGAAAAGACGAAGAACTTGGGTCGCTTGATAAGGTAGTTCACCTAGTCGCGGTCAGCCGTGTATCAGTGGCAGGCTTGCAGTTCTGCACTCACGTAGTTCATGTCTCCACCATTGCGTACAACCGGCACTCTTTCGCCATCAATTGAATGCCGAGGTGTAGTCAAGCCCAACTCGATGTACAATATAGAACCCGCGATGGCTGCAAGCCCACCGAAAGCCCAAAAGCAAAGCGTGATTCCCGGGCTCTCGGTGGCCTGCATAACGGTCCATGGTGTTCGGAATATGCCAGTACCGATGACTTGCTGGAGTATGAAGGCCACTACTGAGAAGAGACCTAGAGGATTCGGCGTGCTTTTCGTAGCGACAACATCTTTGTCGTTCAAAGCCTCGAGGTATGCGCGGTCTTGTTCGTCTAAGCACAGGCTGCGGTCTCCCGATTGGACGCTACATGATTCGTCCATCGTTCGGTAATGAGCATCGATTTGGAGCTGGTGAAGCTTAGGAATCCGGTTGGATAAGTAGTACCTAGCTACAGTAGTAGCCGTCCAGCAAGAAGCCGGTAATGGTATCTGAATGATTTATCCCTTGAGTTTCATGCATTAGTTATCACCCGGGAGGAGAGCTAGTTTTTGAAGCCCTTGCTGGTAGCTTTACTTTTTCCGTCGATTGTTAGAGCCTTCGCACCGCGGAGCTGCGACTCCTTACTTAACGATACTTGCCATGTGAACAGCAGCCACAAGGTCGCTTCGAAATTCGATAGACAGCCACTTTGCGTAGGAGGCAAGGCTAAATCCGAAAGTGAACAAAGCATCGCTTGCCACAGTCGAGTAGATGCAGGGGATGTCTGAGGAAGGGATGCGCGTGTGCCAGATAACGACAGACAGCTCCTGAGGTATCGTTGTCGGTCCCTAAGCCTGCATCTTCTCAAAGCATTGCAACCATCGGTAACATGCCGTGGGATTTCGGTGTACTCAGCTTCATTTGCGGCGCCATCAAATTATCGTGGATCATATACGAGAAGGGGTTTACGAAGGAGAAGTCGCTGCGTTCGTCCTCCCAGCCACCGCACCGCGTTTTCGCGCTAACCGTATTGTCTTAGCGCAACGGTATCTCGAGTTTGGCGACGCGTTGTTCCGGCTGCACTGGAGTCTCAACACCATCGAATCCATCGTCAGAACCGCGAACACCGGCTTAGAAAACGGAAGGCTCGAGAGCTATGGTTCTGAGTTATATGATACCACAGCTCTGACCGATATCGTGGGTAACTTCCGCTTGACGCTGGAACAAAGTCAGAAGTTGCTCAATGGCGTCAGCAAATTTCGTACTGGCAAAGACGGCTTCATCACCAACATCATCTACAACCTGAACTCGGATGCGCAGGTCAGAGATTTGACTGAGCGGCTGAAATTCCACACCGTCAAGATTGGTCTCGTTCTCGACGCGTTCAACATTCATGTCCAAACACAGCTGCGGGATCTCCACAATGAACAACACCAAGACCTTGCGGAGCGAATTCAGGAGCTGAAGCACCTACTTGTTGCTAGTCGAGATTCACGCACCGACGCGTATCATCCGGTGATCAAGCGAGATATAGAAGTCCCTGTCGAGCTTGCCAAGCGCTTCGCGGCGGAGTTACAGCAATGTTCTTTATTGTATACGTTTGACTGGGAGAAAACATCTGACGGGCCGCAAGTATCAGTCAGAGAAGGCCTAGAAGCCTTTTGCAACCATTTCAATGGCGCTCATCCTGATGGAGATGCGACATCATATCTTCGCCTTCTCAAAAGCATATGGCTAATGGACAAGATTAAGGAAGGACACGATTGGTCAAGTATTCAAAGCTCAAATCCAGGCGGTCTCTATGATAGGTGCATCAGGGAAACGGATAGACGACTTCGCATAGAGTGCGCTCGAATCGCCAGCAGTCCAATCGCGCGCCCCCGACTATCTACCATCATGCGGTCTCCCGAGGAAATGCTTGCTATCTGGCCGAGACCTATCCCCATTAACGATAACGTGCACGAAACGAATCTTGGGGTTCTTCTAGACATCTCGCTTGTCTCCGGTACGCAGACACATACCTTTCGCGTAGTGCGTAACATGGATGGGACGTTGGGAGTGGAAGACACCACTACGAATACAACACCATGCACTGGTGGCAGTTCCAGGGACAGAGTAACACAAAAACTCAACCTTGACCCAAGGACGGTTTTCCTAGTCCCTGTGTATGCAATACCGAAAGTTCCAGGCTCGCAAGATGCTTCTTGTAGCGTAAAGCTGCAGAGCTCGCCTGATGATACAAATGGCCTGACTCCAGATTTTCGCTCATGTACCGACTTGTTCAGGTTGCAACACCTCATTACGGGCTACAGATGCGTACATCAAAGGTGGGTAGCTATTAGCCTACCAAACTTGTCGCGCAAGCAGCACTTAAACTCTATGCCTGCACAAGACTGACACGTTTGAAGGAGAACTGTGATAGTCACATCCCTCGTGAAAGGGCAGGGCTTCCCAACGAACAGTGGCGCATCCGAAGGTAGACCAAGCAAGACCACCGACGTACTGACTGAGATCGGGAACATACAGTTGTGGAAAAAAGCTTCTTTCGAAAAGAGACCTGCGTCCCAGCACCAATACAGCAAGTCGTCAGAGGACCTGTTCAATTCTCCAGAAACTGTATCGGGTGCATGGAGTCCTGAGCCACTCAGCGAACGGACTTTCACCTCGACGTTCAGTATCATGAGCAACATCTCCAGCGCTCACTCACAAGAGATATCACTGGGCTCTGCAGTCAGGGCAGTGCAGTTAACACACCTAGAGCTGCCATTACTTGTGGTATTTCTCAAACAGCCAGATACAGGGCAGTTATCCTTTCTAGCCATTGAGCTCGACGAGCGTACGAAGATCGAGCCAAAAAGCTGCGACTGCCGAAGCACCAAAGCCAACTGTACAGTCAGTGTGCTAGAGCGATCTGGTACACCACTGCTAACTCGTCGATTTTATGCGGAGAAAGGGCTCAACAGCTGGAATCTGGCGGCTGTCGGTGCTCACTGGTCATCCTCCGATGCCGGTGCGGTGCGCGTGCGAGACATGTACTGGCTTCGGTTCGAGTTCCCGAACGACGCTGAGCGCAAGAAGTTTCATCAGAATGTTGCCGATCTCGTTCGCATCTTCTCTGCAAGGATGAACGACTACCAGAGGGACTTAAGGTCGGTTCGCGGAGCTCACATCATCTCACGAATAGGCTGAGGATGGTTGGCGTTGCTCTCACTTCCTTCATCTATCGTGTTTGTTAATCTTTAGTCTAATGTTAATAACGCTCCTTCGTCTCAATATCATGTAGTAGTAATCTGCGGTCATGTTCGCTCACTTCCGATGATCTTGCTCAGGCCTCGTACTAGTTTGAGCCAAGGAATCTTTTACAAGAGCTCAAATTCCTGGATTGTGCCTTCACTGCGCCTACAAGACTATGCAACACACAAGAGAGACACTCGAAGTTGACGTCAGTCATATAAATGTCCCAGAAGATACAACGTCCCGTGTAATGCGAACGATCTAGCGAATGCGAATTTAGACTGAGAATCGCACCTGAAGCCCGGTGCTAGCGAATGCGACATGCTTGGCCTGCGCCACCGACCTCTCGCACTCGTCAACACTTCGCCAATACACTTGGCACTCTATGGTAGAGACGTGCATCATTCTTTATAAGAAAGACGTAGACTTCGAAGCCAGGATTAAAACATACATTGATGTGTACATCAGTATAGTTTTCGTATAACACCTTCTAAGGTCTACAAAAACGACGTCCCACAATTCCTTCACCGTACGATGACGGCGCCCTCGCAGTCTGGCCAAGAACACCAACCTGAGTTCATCGCAGCTAGTATTGTTGCGGCTACTAGCAGAGAAACATGGATAACTCAAGCGCGACGATGGAAGTTTCTCCTACTGCTGTTGCCAGGCTTCTATACCGCGAGTATGGATCTAACTGTTGTCGCCACAGCGCAGCCGTTCATCGCCTCTCATTTCCGTAAGTACTCTCTCCAAGGACCGCCAGTGTACATGCTTACTATCAAACAGAAGCTTTGAACCAGATAAGCTGGATCGGCACAGCCTTCACACTCACAGACACTGCGTTCGTCCCCTTGTTCGGCCAGATAGCTGATGTCTTCGGATGGTACGCAGCCCTGCAGATTGCTGTTATAATTATGACTTTGGGCGGCGTCCTTTGTACAAGCGCACAAATTTGGCCAATCTTGGTACTTGGTCGAGCACTACAGGGTGTGGGGACGGCCGGCATGTCTACATGCTCTCTCATCATCTTGGCGGACAACGTGTCCCTGAAAGAGCAAGCGTTGAATACTAGCATCTTTCACTTCTTGATCGGCATTGCGTATGCAACTGGACCTTTGGTATGACTCTTAGCAGCTGAGCTTATTACTGCTAACAGGTAATCAGATCGGAGGCTACATGACGAATGTGCATTGGCGATATGTCTTTGTGCTCTTGTCCGCCTTGAGCGCAATAAGCATCCTCACTATTGCGTTCCTGCGACCTGATCTGAAGAAGGGGAGGTACTCGGTGGCTCATCCGCAGTCGGGTCAGACTTCTCTTAGGTCTTTCCTCGATGGATGCGCGTGTATCGACCTGATCGGCGTGGGAACGTTCGTCGTTGGAGTGGCGCTGATTATCCTGGCGACCAGTTGGGGTGGCTCGGCTTATGCCTGGACATCACCAGCCGTCCTAACACCGCTTATCACCGGCCCATTCTTGCTGGTAGTGTTCGTGGTGTACCAACGATACATGGCGCCGGGCCGACATCTCGCGCGACGGCTTCCACGGATCATGCCCGTGGTGCCATACCAACTCTTTCACGAGAAGGATGTGACCCTAGTCTGTATCATCTCCGCAGCAACAGGTGCAGCTCTCTACGCCTGCTTCTACTTCGCCGGTATCTACTTCACTCTTGTTGAGGGTTTCGACGCTGGTAAAGCTGGGCTCCAGCTGCTGTTCTACGTTCCCGGGATCGGTATCGGCGTATACACTGCCATTATCATGTGCAACGTACACCCTCGACAGACCATCTGGCCCTTATTGATCGGTACAATCGTAGAGACAGGTAGCATCGGAGCACTATCATGGGCTATACGTGCTCGCCAGAGGACCGCTGTCAAAGTGCTCATGGGCGTCGCCGGGTTCGGTACTGGCATCCGCTTTATGCCAGAGAACCTACACCTGACAGGAATGTACCGGGACAAGATCGCTGTCATTCTCGGCCTTTTGAGCTTCGCTGGTCCTTTTGGTGGAACCATAGCTTTGACGGTGATGGGCTCGGTCTTCCAGAACAAGATGTCGGCCTACTTCGTCGGTAGCGAAGGGTCATCTAGATTCGACGTCAACTCACCCACCGCATTGAATGCTATCAGCGACCTCTCGTTGGAAGATCTGGAACGCTTCCGATCTGCTGCCGCCAACGCTATTAGTTGGTCGTTCATCTCCATTTTGCCATTTTTAGCCCTCAGCATCCTCGCTGCGTTAATGCTAGGCAACGTCTGGATATGCAAGGACAAGAAAGCGATGAAGGCGACATCTCCCAGCGACCCGACAGTGAATACGGACGCAGCGCTGCAAGATCAGACGCAGAGTGTGCAGCGGAATGGAAGGCCGGAGGTGCTGACCGGAATCTACTTCTACGCTGTATTGAGAGGAGCAGTAGCTTCACAGCGACACTTGGGCCCGCTGGAGGTGCGATTAGATCGTCAAGAGGAGAAGAAGGGCAGCAGGGAGAGTGCTACGCTATGATGTCATGTTGTCATTCCGTTTATGGTTAGACCAAACCCACGGGCCAAATGCCCCTTATCGTACCGAAGTGGCTGGAGTCCCAGCCATCCGCGTTCCCACTGCAGCGATCCCTCAAGCAACATGAAACTTGTCTATCGCATCATGCATCTGCCTCAAGACTGGCCACAGTTTTCTTCGTCCGCTTGAGTTGACTCATCTTCGTGATTAGCTCCCCGATGGCGGCCACGGTCCTACCGCGCATGATGTCGAAAACCGCAATGTCCGCAACAAACTCCTTGCCGATCCAGTTGCGCAGTTCGACTGCGACAAGTGAATCAACCCCGAAAGCGTGAAGGGGTTTATTAACGTCAATCTCCTCTGGGGGGATGGACAGTGCGCGGGCGAGCTTGCGCGCCAGTGCCTCAAGGACCACTGCTACTCGCTGCTCATCATCCTCGGCAAGATTGAACAGCGTGGCGGCACTGACGCTGCTCTGTGTGTTGGACTGGTTCGTGCCGCGGGCTTGCGAGAAAGATGCGAAGAGTGGGCGCTGCAAAACCTCTGCCGGTTCCAAATTGCGCTCGATCAGATCAACAGGAGTTACCAGGCCCATGGCAATCTGACTCTTGTCTACCGTCAACGGCATGTTGGTGTGCTCTGGGTCACAGTATATGGTCAACAACGCCAAGAACTCGTCTTCCTCAATCTGGCCGAGACTGCCGGACTTTTTGAAGTTCTCGTGTAAGCGTTCGGTTTCCGCAACGATGCCGATGGTGCGCATTACACCGAGATCAATGGATGTTGCGCGCTGTCGGTGATGAACGCGATGGCGCGCGAGGGCATCTTGGAAGGTGCAGCCTGCTGCGTAGTTTGACTGACCGATGTTGCCAGCAACGCCTGCCACCGACGACAGCATGATAAAGAAATTCAGGTCCTGGGGAAGCAGGGTGTGGAGGTTCCATGAAGTGTGGGCTTTGGAACGGATAGTCTGAACCCACTGAGTGTGAGTCATGTTGTCGAATGTCGCGTCCTACGAGACTTGGTAAGCGATTCCTCGAGCGTGAGCATTGGGAGCCTTACATTCAGCATCATGGTAGCATTTATGCAACCTCGAATTGGCGG